ACACACACACACACACACACACACACACATACACACACACACACACACACACACACACACATTCACACAATTTATATTGTAGTGTATAATGGTGGGGATCATTCGTACAACAAAACAACAATAACGTGTATGTATGGTAAATGAATAATGTTTAAAAAGAAACACATCTACACACATAATTGATATTGCAGTGACTTCACAAGTTAACCAAGAACCAATCCCATTGTGTTGTGAACCAGACACATTGTTACTCGTCCAAGACGAACGCCGCTGTAAATACGAGTGGACTAGTCAATAAGCAATGGATCCTATCACCGAGTCGGAAGAAAATGCATTGTGGCAGTGAGAAAATAAGTTGAACAATAACAAAACATTGTCAAGCACCAAGAATCCAGCGACGCAAGAGGAGTTAAGATTCACGGTCCACGATATGAGTATCCTCATGAGTGGCACACGATGGTTAAACAATGATATTATAAACTTGTACAGCAACATGATAAAGGTTGACAATATGTGTAGGACTACCCATCGGTAGTGTGATACGCTGTCGCGCTCGGCGGTCGTACACCCAGATGTAAAGTGATTTTTTTTTGTGTCGGACCTCTCGGTCGTGTCACGCAGGAGTCTTTTTGTCACTCGTAGCAAAACACCACTTCGACCGCGCGCGCGTGTTATACCTCTCGCGACTCCCTACGACAAGTTAGGGATCCCGCGAGGTACAACATTACCTCCACCTGCGGCAGTTGTCACCATCCCTTAGGTGGGCATATCCCTGCTGAGCTACTGACCCACGTGCGAAGGCTTTATATGCAATTGCAGAGGTAGGCCAGCCGAGGGCGTTTTCTCGATCGTCGTAGCATAGGCATACGCGAGGTAGAACGCCTTAAGACTGACCCGTATGTCATGCCCCGAGGTGCTAATTTCCCAGATTGATTATCTAATCAGGTCGACTTTCTCGAACAGTCTTCCACGCTTAGCTAACTATGACAATGACTCTATCTTTCCTTTGTTAACCTTATGAGAAAATACCAGAGTCATGCCCCTTTGTAATCTCTCATTCTTCTCAAAGTAGTCCCAGACAAATGACTTCCTAAGCACCGACCAGCCTACGATCTTTCTCACGTATGTATATATATATAAATCAGGGAAGTTGAATGAGCGGTGGACCTCACTTTCACAATTGCTGTGCCCCGTTGTCCGAATATCCCAAATGATCCCAAATTCATAAGACAACACAAATGTCCAACACCTGTGCAGATGCAAGAAATCACATACACGCATACAGATGCAGACACAGAATGCGCTACACGCGTCAACCTTGAACCCATTCATAGCAAGTCCCTCACTCCCCAAAACCTTGAAAACAACATTCCTTCCTACCTGACTCCTTTTACCCCAACCCTTCAAATTTTCAAAGACCTTTGAGTGTGATTTGGACAATTTAGGCATAGATACAGGGAAAGATTCATTTGTTCCTTTCTTAGGTCTTGTCTTAGGTGTGGGTATCGAGCCATGTGGAAGTTGAGTCGGAGTTCTACTGGCCTGTTATCAAACGATAACAGAATTGCAGTTTCTTACGGATTCTCCCGTAAGTTCTCCAAAGTGACGAAGACCTGTAGACACAGCATAATCCAAAAGAAGCTTAACATCCCTTCTTCCCTAAACTAGGATCTAGAATGTTTCTCCCAGACTTGTGCCCTCTCTCTGTCTTCTATTCTTAACTATCTGTTCGGGTCATTGCCCCTTTTGGTTTAGGTGATGAACCATTGTTCATCCCCCTTTGTTCTGAGATGCAGTAATTCCTTCGAACTACCTCCTTCCCATCCTCCTTGGGATTATCTTTCTGAGTTTTCCTTCCTTTTCCCAACACACATGAACACAGCGCGAATCCAATCTTGTGGAAAGGAATCTCATGGAGGAAAACCAACTCAAATATTCCAAGGTAAATGGGTACTCTTTCTGAGGCAAGATCTCACTTTTCCCCTCTCAGTAGAATCAGAGATAATTAGTTAGGACTGAACGATGCAGATTGTGGAGAAAGTTAGCGGTGGTATGGTAGACCATTCAGGATTTATCCACTTGTTACTGACGCCTGTTTGGCAAAAAGCAAACCTAGTGGGCCTTGGCCCTCTGTGTGCTGAAGCACAATTGGCAGCAGGCTTAACCCATGGCTAGTCACTGATAAGGCAGGTTTCTCGTGACACCTTGCTACTCTTATCATTGGCTAGTCACTGATAAGGCATGTTTTATAGAACCCTGCTACTCTTATCACTGAATAGACATCAATAAGGCAGGTCACCCGGAACCTTGCTACTCTTATCACTGAATGAATGCATGAAGCTATCAGTGATAAGGCAGGTGTCACGGAACCTCGCTACTCTTCTATCTGGCTAGTCACTGATAAGGCAGGTTTCCCTGCTACTCTTATCACTGAATAGACCTAGGTTGCATAGAGTACATGTACGGGGGCTTCCCGTACGAAACGTACAGGTTATTTCTGTACGGGATCTGTACGGGAACCTGTACGGGAACCT